ACCTTTATGTGGTGATAAGGTTTACGCAATCGAAATGATTGATTTTGATTTTATCAAATATATCTTGATGAACGGCATAGAGTGACGTGACCAAAAAAACACTCACTCATGAAATTCACGAAAGTAATTGTTTGGTGAAAGTAGGTGTTCAAAGGTACTTATCCATATTAAGTAACATTATATATTGTGAAAACAATGTTTGTTCTTTTTTATTAGTTTATTTCATTTATACTGTGGGCCTTAATAGAAAAAAAATCAACGCAGTCTGATTATATGAAGAATATAATACATGTACATGAAACAGCCATTGTAAATAATGCGGGCCTTTCCCACGTGCACGAAATTATAGCCAGCAAAAAATGATGAGCTCCCAATACCGGGGCCGAACAATTAATGCATGTATTGAGTACCTATCAATTCTGGGAACACGATGACCGCCAGCGCCACTTGTATAGTGATGTTTTAGCCGATTTTGGCTAACTTTGACAGATTTTTTTGTTGAAAAACGAGTCAGACAGAAATTTGGCAGAATGGGATTTTTTGGCAGATTTCTGGCAGATTTTGCAAAAATAATTATTTGCTTCAATGTTCATGTATATCAATTATCATACAATTTAAGGTAATCGTGTATATTGTAATAATTATACTTTAGGACCCCCCCCTTATATTTTATTTCCCTTCATAAATAACATGCCCTATTCCCACAAAATTAAGCCAGCTGATTCAACATTATCTTGGCGAACTATGACGATATACATGTACATGTACTGTGTAGCCAAACGTTTAGGTCCTAAAACAAACATAATAATATAGGAGTCTATTCGTTCTCTTAATGAAACAGAGCCCTTATTAGCACACTAATTTAAGCTTTATTTCCTAAAAAGTGCACAAGAACAATTAAGCATATTAGAATGCTCGAACCCTAATGGAGATATTTGACGAGAAGAAAATTATAATATGCATGTATTTATAATTTATATTCAAAACCGCCCCTAGCAATACACATTGCAGTTCTAAGCTGTCCGAGTTTAAATGTTAAATGCCTCGTTTTGTGATAGTGTGTGGGCAAAGTTTCGCCATCATGTATTTTGTAATCAGTGTATTAAAGATTAAATTGATTTCGTTTTTTTTAACAACAGGTGTTTAATAGTGTTACATACGCCAATCAGGTCCATCAGAATGCAAATCATAGGTCCCCAATTATCCTCCTGTTGAAAAAGTGTAGCATACAAGCCGTGAAAAATTAAAGCATTCTCATAGTTTCCAAAATAACCCAAACAGCATGACATAATAATAAATAAACAATTTCCGAAAAAAATAATACAAGAATAAAACTGAGTACCGATTTTAGGTTTAGTTTTACAATTTCCCAATCCAAAGGCAAATACCGATCTATTAGGCCAAAAAAAAAAAATATTCGGTCTCTGGTCAGACCACAGTTCCGGAATTGACGCGGCCATGCGGCTTTTTTTTTTTTTTTTGGCTTTTTTTTTTTTTTCTTCAAGCTTGGATTGTACAGACAAAGTGGGGTACTATTTTGTTTTTTTGGTGTCCTCGTGTACATTGGTGTCCTCCATAATTTGCCTTGGTGCTTTTGATCATTTGCCTTTGTGCAATTTCCCATTCCTTGGTGCTCTTTGGTAAAAAAAATTGAGGTGTGGAAATAGAGGGTGCTGTTGGAGCTACCGTGGAACATTTTGGGAAAAAAAAAGATCGACGCGCATGATTAAAATCGACGCGCGCGCTGACCAGAGACCGACTTTTTTTTTTTTTGGCCTTACTGTTGATTTTTTTTTATATAAAATATTTTAATAATAATATGTGAATAATAGTCAAAGGAGTGAAAATACGCAACAGAGTAGAGCTGAATGGGTCTCCATCGGTCTCTCGAAGCAATGTGCCTTTTTAACACCAGCATTTTCTGATTTTAACCCCTCCAACTGCACATTCTCAGTCTGTTCCAGACAGGGACTGCAGCGTTGATGAAAGTTGGCTGATTTACGACATAAAAAAATGCACAATTAGACATTTTAACAAAACTAATTAATGAGCAGGCGAAATCAATCCCCCTGCAATTTGAAAACGTCGAACGGAAAGACATTTTGTTATTTCAGCGTCATCAAATCACCCGAACACAGTGAAGAAGAAAAAAAAATGAATCACAATATACCTACCAATAACTTAGTTATGGTAAATTAATTACAAAAATACTTTAGAATTTCATGGCGAGTAGAATCCATATTATATTGAAGCAGGGATCACGACGGCAGCAGAGCTGAGCATGTGGTTTGTGAGCCCAACAACCTGCAAAGTGAACAGCCGCCGGCAACTCCAAAAGATGGCTAGCGCGAAAAGGGTATTGCTGGTTTGGCTTCTTGCAAAAACAAGAGCGTGGGAACTTGTCTAGCACAAGACAGACAGGTAGATCGTCATGACGACGAAATGTCACCACCAATGCGATGCTGTGCATACATTCCCGCCAAACTGGAGTTAACTGACGGGCAATAAGACCCGCCCTAACATCCCTCGTATAGGTTGACTGGCGCAAGGCATAACCATAGTAACATTATTGTCAAGGATATCTAGTGACGTGTGTCGGCTTCGTAAATATTCATGATACAGTTTCTAAACTGCATGGTGGAAGTTGATTACCCGTTCTCTTCAGTTTATTGCTATTACATTTTCTGTCCAATTCTGTAACGAAATTTTCATATGTATTTTTGGAGAAACGGGAAATGATTGATTCCATCCTAATTGGACGCTTTTTAATATTCCTCTAAAATAACGGTTGATGTTTAAATTGCTTTTGCGGTCATTATGCATTAAAAGTGAATTATTTTTCGGCTCCAATATTTGGTCTGGGTGCAATAAAATAAAATTTATATTGAAGCCTCCTTCTAAAGTGGATTTGTTTTATATTGCTATAAAAAAAAGGCATTTCAAAAAAGACGGAAGTATTAATTTTCGAACAGAAACTCTGAGCACGGGGGGGGGGGGGGGGGGGGGGATCGAGAGCAACTTGAAGTTGTTTTTATTGATAAACGTATTAGGCCCGATGGATTATTCACTAATTCTACATTACGAAAGAAAAATAGAAAGGACTACATGCAGACAACATCTCCAATAAATAAGTTCTATAGAATGCAGAAATCAGAAGCCATGGATAGTACACTTTTCCATATCACGACAATCGGTCTTAATTATATTAAAAAAGAAGAAGGTGCAATTCATGTACAAATAATTTAATTAGATCGTATTTTGAGGGAAAATGCTTCCTGACAATACATTATTGCAGTCTTTGGAATTGATGAATACTGCAGGGTTAAATATTGCCCAAGCCAGGGTCAAGAAACATGCGGTGTGGAATTTTCATTCCGATTTCACGAAGTTGATTTCCACTTGTCAACATTTGCCACCTATCAAAAAACAAATCTCAGGAAAATATTCGGGAACACAGCGCCTTGCTCTTGGTTTAATAACAAATACCGCCGACGCAACAAAGCCTGAATATTACCGGAGCACTGAACAGAAGCTGGTTTCACGAACTCTGCGTACGATAGGTTCGCGCACTTTGCGAACTCAGCGGCTGTAGCATATTAGCATAGTTTTAGCATAACAAAGGCGCATTGTCATGCGATGCAAATGAACCTGGAGAGCTCGATGTTTACTCCTAACTTGGGATCAAAATTAGTTCGCGAACCTTCGCTGACCTCGCGAACAGTCATTTTTGAAGCCTGCCCTTAATCAAGTGGGTCAAAATCATGGACAACCTGTTCAGTTAGTGTTTTAACCTGTCTCTGCACTGGACTTTTTTGGGAAGGTTTTACCAAGACGATGGTAAAATGAAAAATTGTCAAAGGTAACCACTTTCCGCCCTTGGACTTTTGACACGGGACATTTTACCCAGACCGCGTGGTAGAAGTAACTAAGCTGTCAGTTTAATGACTCACATCCAGAAAAAAAATGCCAATCTTGCTATTCAGCCCTGATAGGCACAGTATATTACACACACCATTTACACGCACAATATAATCGTTTCACACGACATTATTTCATTTTGACATGCTCACTCTTGATGAACAGGCCTATATTTCTGACACATTGATGATCAAAATGCACATGCCATTGAAGCCATGCTGCTGTACGATGTTCTTTGGGCATTGTCTGATAGCTGGGACATTTACAGTGCAGTGTCATTGGTATTCACTGGTTCCCACCGCATGCTAACAGAATCAAAGCTATGATGTAAGACCGGAACCAGTGACTATCAGTGCATGACTACATAGCGTAACAGGAATTTGTATCATAGAAAATACCAAACAAACATCTTTAGAGAAAGAAAATTTCTGCAAATTAATTGCAAGAACGTGATCTCTCTTGTCTGTTATGTGTTTTCCATAATATTTACAAATGTATAACAAGATTTTACAAAATATTTGGCAACAGCTCGTGGGTTTGTGTCCCTGTGTACATGCATGGCCTCGCTCTCGGACTGGATGTACGTTTTCCTGAGCCGTTTCGCACAGTCTACACTGGACTTATCGTCTCGGGAAAAGTGACCGGGTCAGTTTTCCTGGCAGCAGTTGGCCAGTAGATTAACTGCTGGACTCGGGAAAGTTACTGAGAGGAAAAGATCCAAGGCTGTCTGCACAGAACTTAAAATGGGAAAAGTAAATTGCAGCAAACCTGTGGAAAGAAATCTTCATGATCACCTTTTGTCCAAATTTATTTATCTATGCCACACAGCAGTTGCCTGCTGTGGGTACCATATGTAAAAAAAAAATAATACTCATTTTCATTGAGCAGACAAGGGTTTTAATTTGCATATACTTATGTAAAACCCTTGTCTGCTCAATGAAAATGAACATTATTTTTTTCAGGTATTTTATAAAAATTATATAAAATGGTTCAAAATTACAGCCTGCATGTACATGTATATATCATTATTTACAGACTACATGGACCTTCAATGTGCCTTTTAAAATTTTTACAATTTGTAGACCACCCTGCCATCATTCAGTGACAGTGAGTTTTCAGTCCAGCGTGAGCATGAAGAATTTGTATGGCTTCACACAATGTATGTAGAGAACGAGGATTACGGTGGCATCGTGGTAAGTTACGTTAAGGAGAATACACTCGCAAGTGTGGATTCTTAATTTAAGAATTCACGAGGCGCGAAGCGCCGAGTGAATTCGTAAATTAAGAATCCACACTTGCGAGTGTATTCTTCGACTTAAACCATTGCGTCAACAGAAGTACTTAAAAGAATGTGCAACCTGACGCCAATTTTTCTTCTTCATATATCATCTCAATGAAGGTCATTCGTTGCAAAAATTACGATAAGACATGAATCTGGACTGAGAAATGTTTCCATTTTGTTTGAAATACTTGAAATGACTCTCCACGTGACCGACTTTGTACACAACCGCGGAAGTGGCGGCAGGTTGCATCATTTTTTCCTGGCGTGTTTAGCATGTGTATGCCACACCCGTACAAACAAAGTCATTTTTGTGTACATGTATAGGCTCCTTACGTCAAAATGGATAGTTCAGAAGACGATTTCTTTCTGACTAAAGTATATTTTGCAGTGACGGCGGCGAATGTGACGGTGAAGATGCATTGGTAATTTTCAGAAAGCAAATTTTCACGCAGACGGTCCTATTCATGCTCATTATGGGGAACATTATTGTCCGATGTGTTCAAAGTGTGGATTGGTAATTCCGAATCCACACTTTACTAAAGATTCGTCGTTCCGAATCCACACTTTGTGACCAGTGTAAGAGATTCTTTCTTTTTGTGCTGTTTTTTTTTTGGCTTTTTCGCAATTTGCTAAAAAGCCTTTGTTTCTGTTCTCATTTTTTTTTTTTTTGGCTTTTTCGCAATTTTGCGAAAAAGCTTTTCTTTCTGTTCTCATTTTTTGTTTACCTGTTCCCAATTTCAATTGGTAACAGCTATTGTTTTCGTTAAAGTTTTTTTAGCTGTTCCCAATTTCAATTGGGAACAGCTATTGTTTTCGTTAAATTTTTTTTTTTTTTTTTTTTTCCTTCACTTTTCCCCATAGGTTTTGTA